GATATAATAAAAAATATTTTTTTTAGCATTTGTGGAGATGGAATTAATACATAAGAATAATGTGATGATGGAAGTTTACCATTAATATAAAATTGTTAAAATTGTAATATTAATAATAATGTATTACATGTATAGATGGATTAAAATGCATCTCACCAGGATGGGAACTAAAAATAATTAATATGAATTGTTAAACAATTTGTGGAGATTAAATAATTTTTGGAAATGAATAATGTGATTGATAATAGAAATAATTATAATGATGATGATGGTAATGATACACCTTTTAATGGTTGCTATTAATGTTCAGAAGGCTGTATTGATTGTGAAGAAGGTTAATGTAAATAATGTAATAGTAATTAATATATTTTGGATAATAAGACTGGTAGATGTTATAAATAAAATCTTAATGACTTTAATGATAAAAATTGATGATGTATCTAATAAATTAATATTATATTAAACATTTCTAAGATGTGGAAATAATCAATTAAAAATTGATTATGTATGTATTAATTAATGTGGAAATGGAATCCTACTAAAATAATATTAAGAATGTGATGATGGAAACAATGTAAGAGGAGATGAATGTTCTACTTATTGTCTAATTGAAAATTCTTATTAATGTATTAATTCAGAAGGATGTTTAAGTTTATGTACATTTATTATTGCTCCTGACTTTATATTAGATGTTGTTTATTGAATTTACATTCAATTAATAAGTTAAATTATCTTAAGAAATTAATTTTGAATAAATTGTTATATATACTATTACTCCATAAACTTAATATAAATTAACTATTAATTGTCTATCTAATCTAACTACTACCCTTAATAATCCTAACTATTAAATTGTTATTGAATTTATAGAACCTATATTAAATCTCATTTTATAAATTGATATTGATAAATCTCTTATACAAAATGAATTTTAATTAAATTTATTCTATAATTAAAAATAAGTCAATCTTGCAACTTCTATTGTTTTACCATAAACCACTAAATAAAAATTAACATCTATTGTTTAATTAAATGATATCATGATGTACTCAATGGCTACCGTATCAAGTTTAGCCTTTCTAACTGGAAATGCAATCATGTTTTTTAATTTGTTAGATTTATTGCAGTCCTTATCTTATATAAGATTTATGTAATGTTAATTTCTACCTTTTTGAATGGATTTCTTAAAAGCAAATACCAAAGTCTCATTGCAACCAATTTTAAA